CTTCTGACAAGGAGGTCGCAGTCTTAGGATGGCTAGTCGAAATAAATGATCTCATGCGAATCGACAAGATGGACGATAGAAGGGTGGACGATAAAGCCAGCGCCTCCAATGTTTCATTATGGTTCCATCTCACCACGAATGCTGAGGGTATCACTCATCTGTCGTCCTTCTTCCTGCGCTTCGTTTCCTGCAGAGCGATGATGTGGTACTTGATGTGCTTTGCAGCGTCGAAAAAAGCGTGGAGGTCGGCATCTGTGGAGACTGTCTTGGCATTATAGGAGAGCATGAGGCAGTCTCCATGGCGTGCTGTCCGGGCAGACGCGTGGTTTTTGGATCCGAAAGGCTTCTCAAGTACCCTGACATCGTTTTTGCTACACCCGGCGCCTTAGGCGGGATCCCATGTGCAGGGTTTATCCCTCTTCTTTTTGCTGATCGAGCAAGGAGGTTTTCTCCTACAAGAGCAGACTTACTACGCCTACTCTTGATTTCAAAGGGGCAATCGCTGACCAGGGTGTGCAGCATGGAGAACGCCTAGCGAAAAAAAAACCAGATGGCTTGGGATCTGAGCTGGCCGGCACTTAGTACGCATCCGGCGAATCCGGCCGAAACCGAAAGCGTCGAACTTCTTCACAGCTAAAAAGGCTCTGCCAGAGAAATACACTCGGCTGTGTCACAGTTCGACATTCAGTGTCGCCCACACACCACGTTGAGGCGGACCATTGTGGAGGGGGGGGGGGGAAGAAAATAAATCTAGCAAAAAAATCAGTGTGATGCGACTTATTTCCCGAACAACCTGATATAATGTGAAAATCAAAATTGCCATTGGTTGAGGATTGACAAATCGCCCACATCTATGCTTTGATGGAGCGCAGAGCTTAGCGAGGATTTCCAACAATTTTAAGACTATGAAAAGGGAACGGCTGCAATGTTCTAGTCTTTCGAAAGATTGTGCCAATAGTAGCGAGTTGGAATCTTTGCTTAAAGCGGCGGTTATGGTGTTGATTATAAACCAACTTTTGTCAATTAGAAGCGACCACTCGACTTCGTCATAGAGTCGAATATGAAGTGCTACGAGCTTCGAGTAAAAATACAAACAAGCAAAAATGCTAACAGAGAATATTTGGTGACCGCGGCCTTTCGATATGCGACATATGTCATAACATTCGCCTTAAAACTGATCTCAATACTGTATTTGCATCTGCAAAACGATTGTTTTGTAGAAACACGTCTCCTCGCATTTGACTTGTTTGCACAAGAGTACGAGTAATTTCAACAGGTGCTAAGGATGTCCAATGGTCAAGCGGTTAGCACTATTGATTATTGCACAATGGATGTCGATTTAATCTCTCGCGGTGCAAATTTTCTTCGTTTGCGTTCGAAAGCGCTATTTCTCTCCAGAAAATCGTTTCGCAAAAAACGACGCAATTTCAAAATTAGCGTTCTAAGTCGAGCATTTCAATATACAAAAAATTTCAAAAGGCCACTATTACCAGTTATCCTTTTCTTGTAAGTGGTTAATTTATATCGTAGCTCTTTACAGTATGTCGCTCTTAAAGGCAGCGTCCAGACAAATCTGAAACTGATTTTATGCGGAAAGTAATTTTGGGGCCCAAACTAAGGCACTGCCCAAGTGGCAGCGCGAATGACTCGCTAACGACTCAGATACGCTTTCAAACTGGACACCGGGATCGTATCTCACATGGATTCATGGCGCAATTCATCAGTTACGCGCGAGGACCCACGCGTTGCGCCACGAATTCGTGCGAATTACGATCCTGGGGTCCAGAATTTAGAGGCGAATATCTTAGCCGTTAGTGCATCACCCGAGCTACCGGTTGGGCAGTGTCTTAGTTAGGGTCCCAAAATTACTGTCACGAGACCCCCATATGTTCAAATTTGCCTGGAAGCTGCCTTTAACTTCTATCATTCACGCTAATTCCGTCTCTTTAGTCTGCTCATTTGAATTATTTTTCTATGAAAAAAATTTATTCTATTTTGTTTTATACCATTACAGTAAACTTCTTGTGAGAAAAAAAGCGCTGCCGACAGCGATATCTTTTCAGTAAAATCATTTTCAGATGTCTAATTCTACGTCTATTAATTCTAGCGACAGTCAGAGCATAGCCGCGTCTGGATTTCTGGCCCTAGTGAGTTATTTTCCTCTAACACTGAAAGCTAAATGTCTGAGCTATATTGTCAGTGTTTGTGTACCCTGATAAAGGCTATCGAAAAAATCACTTACAAAAGAAAAATACTCGGAAGCCAGACAACTTCGTTAAGACTTAAGTCATCATTGATTACAATCCAAAATTGTGCATTTGACATGAAAGCTATTGAAACTATTTTCAAAAAATGTAAATTTTCAGTCGCAATTCTTCTCGGCGTAATTTTTTTTAACAAAGAGTAAGTCATGTACTGTTGAAGGCGCTTTAGTTGCTGTTGCTCTTTTATTTTTCTCGAGAAAAAGGAAATTGTGACGATTTGAGGCTTAGTGGCTTTTGAAGGGAGTGTCTGGACATGGTCGTGTTCATGGGAATTTCAGCGTCATGCAAAAGTGGGTTCTCTCGAGCAGAGCACTTCATTGAGCAGGTGCGAGGCCATTACGTTTCATCAGAAACAAAAGCATTGTCACAGTCAGACCTAGAAAACTTGCGCTCTGGAGCGGGTTTCTTTATCTGCGGATTTCCGGCTTTGCGGCAGATTATGCATGCCGCCACAGTTGAAGTCGTCGGATCTCGCAGCGATTCTACGTCTCAGCCTTAGCGGAAATCCTGCGTATTCAAGTTGAGAATGTGAAACGCATGTTGTGGCGGCCTGGTGGGCCCTAAGCACCTACACTTACCCGAGATGCCCGTGCGCTCGCCCGCTTATTACATATGACGAAAGCTCGCCTACCATTCTACCCTAGCGCGTAAGAAACAGAAGATTAAAAATGAACAGTTCGTCCTTATGATACGAAAAGAAACAAACAAACGCTAGCTACAGTACTAAACTGCAAATAAAGGAGGACCCCAACACGGGACAGGGTGCCCCATCCTGTGCTACCGATGTGCACGACTATAAACACAAATTCTTATATATAAAGCTGAATGTCTGTTTGTATGTATGTCTGTATGTCTGTCTGTATGTCTGTCTGTATGTCTGTGTGTACGTATGTTCCGAATAGAAAATTCCATTTCTGAACCGATCCGGACCAAACTTGGCACACATACACTTCGGGCCCCGGCGGGTGTCATAGGCTACTTTTCGTCGTCGATCGATATCGATTTTATCGATTTTTATCGATTTGTGAGCATGGGGATTCCGAATACAATATTAGTTTTCAGAATTATCGATTACTTTTATTGATTTTATCGATTTTTTGTAAATTTTGACATGCGAGGCTGGGATTTTGCACAGGGGGGTAATCGAGCATGCTGATTACGAACACAATATTAGTTTTCAGGATCGTCCATTACTTTTATCGATTTTATCGATTTTTTTGCAAAGTTTGAGCTAGGGGGCTGGGAGTTGGCACAGGGGGGTAATCGAGCATGGGGATTCCGAATACAATATTGGTTTTCGGGATTATCGATTACTTTTATCGATTTTATCGATTTTTTTGCAAAGTTTGAGCTAGGGGGCTGGGAGTTGGCACAGGGGGGTAATCGAGCATGCTGATCATCCCCAAGGGGGGTGATCAGCATGCTCGATTACACCCCTGTGCCAAATTCCAGCCCCCTAGCTCAAATTTTCAAAAAATCGATAAAATCGATAAAAGTAATGGACGATCTTGAAAACTAATATTGTATTCGTAATTAGCATGCTCGATTACCCCCCCCCCCCTGTGCAAACTCCCAGCCCCGCAGGTCAAACTTTACAAAAAAATCGATAAAATCGATAAAAGTAATGGACGATCCTGAAAAACAATATTGTGTTCGTAATCAGCATGCTCGATTACCCCCCTGTGCAAAATCCCAGCCTCGCATGTCAAAATTTACAAAAAATCGATAAAATCAATAAAAGTAATCGATAAATCTGAAAACTAATATTGTATTCGGAATCCCCATGCTCACTTCCCCCCCCCCTGTGCCAACTCCTAGCCCTGTAGGTGAACTCTGCAAAAAAAATCGATAAAAATCGGTAAAATCGACATCGATCGATAACGAAAAGTGGACTGTGACACCCGCCGGGGCCCGAAGTGTATGTGTGCCAAGTTTGGTCCGGATACGGCGGAGCCGGGTAAGCCAGCTAGTAAGAAATATGCTTAGAGGCTTCACCAACACAGATCCGCCACACATCGCCGAATAACAGGCGCGACACCTCTCTGCTCCCGAAGCTCGTAAGATCTAAATTTCCCGAATCTCAAAGGCTCCAAAAGTGGCTCGTCCGAAACAATCCCAAATCCGACTCGCCAGTCCACTATGAGTTTCTATAAGCTCAATCGCTGCTGCGAAAGTGACATCAGTAGACGAAAACTAAACTGTTAGGCACGAGCACAAAGAATAGAGGAACTCCGACAATTCACGGGAACTTCCCGAGGGCCTTAGCGGAATTTCCCGACGGTCACCTGCGGAAGTACCGTTATCGTCTTCGGGAAGTTCCCTAATTGAAGCTTTCGGGAAGTTCCTTCGTGCTGGGAACTTCCGCAGGATTAATCCCTCGTGCTGGGAACTTCCGCAGGATTATTTATTCGGCCTGTATGCTATCGTAAGCATATTTTCTGCTCTTTCCTCTGCAAGCTTCCTCATCGACGTGGTTACACACATGAAATTGGAAAAGAAATAATATTTATGTCTTTCATTTGGCAACAATCACACATCTGGCTAGTCACATCAGGCGATTCATCATCATCCTCTTCATCTGGCAATGAACACACACGCGTAAAAACTTTGTGATGGCGATAGGAAAGAAACTGCCAACGATTATGCTCCAGAGATCAGGATACAGTAACATTAAGTAACTCAAATAATACAAGCAATCATGGAACCAACTTGGTGTTGAAGGCATAAAACTTAGTGCAACAGAAAGAGAAGAACAATCATATGAGGCGGTAGATATAATACCAGTAGAGATGAAAAATGAGCGCAATATTTTGTTGGCTCAGCAGGAAGCTTGCGGACGGAGTGGTTCCCTCATGTAAAGTGCCAATCTTCTCCATTCCTGTTTTGACATTTGCGCTTTATCTTCTCTTCCGAATCCGCGCTGCACTGATTTGAATTTCTGAAAGAAAAACTAAATACGTGGTTCGAAAGGACTGATTCTATATAAGTCTATACCTTTGACGGAACCAGTTTTCCTTCATCAAGACGATAGTATCTTATGTCTTCACTGCAAAACCCAGATTCAGTGGCGAAAGTGGTAAAAATTATAGAAAAGCTTACAGCGCTTCGGAAATGCAAAGTCCAGTTTGAGTACTCCAGTACGACTTTTTCTCAAGGAGGCTGTTGAACTTTTTGTCGCGTTCGTCGTCAGTTTCGCCTAACGATAGCCACCAGCTGAAATGCTATTCATCAGAAAAACTCTCATTGAGAACGCTAACGCACCTATCACGAGAACTTCTCAGAGCATTAAGCCTGTGCCCTTGCAGGTCTCGCCAGCCTAGATCCAGTGCATCCAGCACAAAGTCTTAAAAATTCGTTCTTGAAAGAAATCACACATAACCGGTTGTACCCGTGAGTGTTATAATCAAAGATTCCGGCAAGTCGATCAAATCTTGTTTGAGGGATATGTTGGAAGTCCGATGAGCATAATTCCAAATGTCGGATGGATCCGGTGCGCAAATCTTTAAGAAACTTTTACTTTCTAGGTTCAAAATATTTCATCTTGCTTTCTTGTTCTTTTTGCTTCATGCGATTGCACAGATTAAAAAAGACGACAGATAGTTATGCAAAATGAACATAGAGAAATTTATATTATGAGCAATGTTGAAAAAAAAGTTGTTCCTCCAACAATAACAATTCAAAAAAGGAATGAAAACGAGCGGAACTTTGGTAACAGCTTAGCATTATAGCATTTCAAGGGCATGTCAACAATCATGTATTTATACCACCACACCTGTTTGAATACTGTGCGCAGGAACTCCGTGATGACAAGGCATGTTTTGTGTTTCACTCTGTTTGTCGGGGCGTATGCCCTTAGAATATCGTTCAGGACTGCTTCCTATGATGAGCGTATATTGTGGTCACTCAGTTAATTCTTGGTTCTAGATACCTTAAATGGAGAACCATATTTGATCACGTGATGTCCTTTCAGATTTTCGTAGGCAAAAATTGTTCCCGATGTTTCGTGAGTCGCTGCGCCATTGCGCTTGCACATCTGCTTGAGGGAGTTTACTTGCCCCTCAAGCTCTTTGATCTTTGCCAAGAGCAAATTCTCCTGGAAATTGCAGCAATAGTAATTGGTCACAAAAAAGATGTAAGATTAGAAAGGTGTTTGTTCTCCATGTTATTCGTTTGGGTTATGCCACAATAATTTAGGTCATCTTATTTACAAATTGCACTCGCCTGGATTCGAGTGCTAAGCGCGTTCTCTACTACCAGTCGTGTACTTTCGATAACGTCATACAGTGTCCCAAGACGGGACCTTTCGGCACTTTGCACTAACTTGTAGATGTCTTCCATATCAAACCTCTGAATGTGCCGCGTACATTGGTGCAGCGTTTCCTAAAGGAGACGTTTTCGTTGCCTACCGCGACAAGAAGCAGAAATACCTGTAGTGATACTTGTGACAAGGATGCTCCCCTGGCTACGATTGCATAGAGGGAAGACGCGAAATCTGTTGTTCCAACTTCGCGCAGTAAACACGCGCGCACTGCTTCTGAAACAAATATCGTAATGTTATGCTTTATATGCGTAAACTCAAACCCAGTGCATCGGATGGCAGAGTATGCGTGTAATGATGAGGCAAAGAACCAGCTTCAGTCACTTCTACTCCTACAAATGATGCATTTAGTGACACCTTTTCATAACATATAAATGAGGTTTCGAAATAAACCTGGGGCATCTCTCCAACCATTCTGGTTTAAAGTAGTGCGCTCTAAAACATATAGTAAGTTTAAGGTTTTCACAGGTATAACTGCGAACCGGGAATTTCTTGTAGCTGCGCTGTATCGCCATGTACTAATCCAACAGGTTCCAAAACATTGGGTATTGTGAGAGGACATGTATGAGCGAGAAAGAGAAAATTGAAAATATCAGAAACAGAGAAGAGAAGGAGAGATGAAAAGCAGTGGCAATGTGAAAATTTGTTCAAGATGAGGGGAAGGAAGGGACAAAAAACTCCCCCTCCTTCTTTTGACAAAATCTTTGATTACAAAATAAGCAAAGCAACAGCGCAAGATTAATAAAGCAAACATTAAACTTCAAAGAGAGCGTTGTCCTTGAGTGGAGTCCCTCCTCAGTCCTTTTGCAGATTTCCAACAGCTTTTTGATGTTTGTTGACACAGATACTGACACCTGAAAAATACTAATTAAACATGGAACAAATAGGTTTGATTACGCTAGCTCGAAATAGATAGGTAAATATCATAACAGTGTTACCTATCCTTCAGACGGTGATAGGCAGAAATAAAGCACCTTAAGCTTTACCTTATCAAACTTTGAGCTTATCATTATGATGCAGGTAGTCTTACTTGCAAAACAAGCAAAACAGAAGTGTTTTGTTAACCTGCAAAAGCTCTGCGGAAGTTCCCTCGAATTGAAATCCTCGGGAGGTTCTGCACTTTGCAGAATTTTCCGAGGATTTCCTCGGAAAGGTCCTAACTGTATTCCTGTCGACGTCATTTTTCTCGGGAAGTTTCCATTCTTTCACCTTCATTTACTCCAGTACTAAATCAAGCTCTCGGGAAGTTCCGCAAATTAGCTTGTTCTCGGGAAGTTCCCTTAATTTGTCTGAGAAAGATTATCGATCAGAAATGAAAGCGAGCAGACGCTGCAATGAGGCGCCGCCACCATATATAGCCTTTCGGCTGGCGACGCATTAAAGCGAGGAGAGGTCCGGCGGCGATTGCGGCAAGCATGGGAAAGTACCGTAATCGTCGCCGGATAGCGCGGCAGCAACCACTGTTCCCGGCCTCCTACTTCTGGGAGCGCTCGCTGCGACATATATTCTCACCTTTACGTGCTTCCTAACGTGGTTTTATGATTTAGCGTTGCGGGTAGCCTTAGCTAAGTAAGTTCACTGGAAATTGATCCTTGCACGGACACTACCTTTGAGCAGGCCGAAAAAATATAAAACCACGGAATAAATCCCAAAGTAAGTAGCATAAGCAGGATCAAGCGCATTGATGGGATCCGGGACCCCCATTTACGACCCCCCCCCCCTTGAAGGTACCCATCCGTACGACCCCCCCCCCATCTACCCCCTTACCTCCCCTGCCCACAAACCGCTTCAGCGCCGTCCAGAACGAGGTCAGAAACGCATGAGCACGGTAGTTTGAAAATTCGTAACTAGGGCCAGGAAAAGACTGAGAAGCTGCTATGGACAGGTTTTGTAGCATAGTGCCCAGACTATCCATAGAAAAAATTTAAGCCCTTGAGGAGCAATGAGCTCGAAAAAATCTAGATGCGACTCTCGAAAATTTAGATGCGATCCTAAAAAGCAAAAACTGGGATTTTTGAGCTAAAAATTTTGTAACTTACCAGAGAAGTTTTAAAACAGCCTGCAAATTTTATGAGGGAGGGCATTAGAATGGCCTCGTATTACAGCAAAATTGCAGCCAACAAGCTTCAATCGCTCCGGAAAAATTTACCCTATTTTCAGGTGTATAAGCCGCACCCTTTTCACTCTAAAGGCGAACACGCCAAAAGACTGACTGTCATCATGGAGCGCGTTAAGTGAGAGCAGTATGCGATAAGGCGACCGCTTCGCGAAACATATGCGCGGCGGCACGCCTGGGTCTGCTCGCGTTTAGAGCAAAAAGGGTGCGGCTTATACACCTGAAAATAGGGTAAATGCGACCCAGATACGACCCCCCTTTTGTCATTTTTTGCCACCGTACATAAAATCATAAGAAAATCCAAAGGCTATAAAGTAGGACCAAATTTTGCGCAAATGTAGTAGAGCACCTCTAAAGTACAATAAATTGTAAAGACCGTATGAAAGGTATTACAAACAGAATTACAAATTACCCTAATTTCACGCGTACAAGGCGCAGGGTGGTCCTAGATTTCATCGAGCTGCTCAGCCGCCCCAACGTATTTTAAGAAGCGATCCTTATGCCGCACGATTCGTCAGGCAAAACGCAGCAGGTATGGGGTTCCTTTGGTTGCGAAGTCCTTTGCCGTGTTCGGGCTGGTCGATGAAAGCTAGGACCACCCCGCGCTTTGTACGCGTGAAATTAGGGTATTGATGATTAGCGTTGATAGAGGTATGCGCTTTTGTAAGTGTGCGAGTCTTCCGTGAGCCTTCGGAAGCAGGATGTCTACACCAATCGGTACATCTAACATCTTTATCACACATACATGCCTTTAGTAGCATTTGAACTTCTGAAGGTGTTCATTTTTTGAATTTTAGTCATGCCACCCTGGTTCGATCCCCATTTGCGACAATATTTTGCGGGAGATATAGTGATGCCCATCAAAAAAAGAGAACTAAGTCCTAACCTTTCAAAAGTGCAGCAAATGAAGTGAAGTTCTACCGTTTGCAGATGTTTTCAAATTATTGTTCACTCGTTTTTATTTGATACATTGGTACACGGCATTCCATGAATTTATTGTTAAGCACACACGTAGTATTTATTTGCCACCCGATTTCCTTCCATGCTTATGGTTTTTTATTCAAACTACCTCCTTTTACGACCCCCTCCCCCCCCAACTCACCATAATTACCCCGCTTACGGCCCCCCGTTGCGACAGTCGCATCACACGCGTGACCCTAAGCATAAGTCTTCTGATCTTATTCTTTCTGATTTAGCGACGTTTGTGCTGAACGAGCTTCTCAATGGGAAGTTATGATATCGTACAAAATGAAGAATTATTCTCCGCTTAACCTGTCTTCACATGTTTCTCATAGAGAAGCTCTATCGGTACAAAGTCTGCTCAGTTAAAGAAGCAGATCAAAAGATTATGTTATAAACTGTTTTGAATTCCATCGCATAGTTTCGCATTTTCGGACCTGCTCAAGATCACCAATTATCAAATATTATAAATTCCTTTTTCATCATTTCTGCAATCAAAGACTAGTAGAAATCTAAACTAGTCATTCAAAATTGCGATTTGTGCTTTTCATTACAATTCAATCCAGACAAAAAGAAATGGTGCGACAGAAGCGGTTCGACCAGGATTTGTGCTATATTGCAACCTAGCCTAACAAATCTTAATTTTCACGTTTCTAGTCATGACCAAGCATATTGTCAATTAGTTCCATAAGCTCATGGAGTTTTTACTTTTTGTCGTCGTTTTCTCATGAAGTGGTTGATTTACGCTAAGTCTCTCGCTCTGCAAGAGATGCTCATTTTCGAAACATACCTAATACTCTTTGTTTTATGACTTTTTTCAAAGTTTTTTTGCGAGAAAATTAGCGATCTCGGCACCCACATCCACATATTCCTCAGTCCACAAAATTTTTTCATAAATAGTCGGAATAGCATTTGCAAGCAAGGCTAGTAGTGTACTAACAAAACGGCGAATACGACAAGATCCAACAAGGTATCATTGGATGGAGTTTTCGACAGCTTCTAGTTCTGTGCTTCTTTCGCAACGAACATCGTGTTCTTCCTGCCATCGAATCTTGAATAATGAATGGCTTCGTAGCACAAATGTTTGTGAACAAGCTCTGACCAAAGTGCTTTTTTCTAAACCTTCGCTTAGGGAAATCCTCTGAATTTTACACTACACAAAACATCTACACATTGAAAGTGCCCTCTAAACTTCTTCGTATTGTCTCTTTGAGCCTACCTTTACATGCACCAAACTTTCGTAGACAGTTGTCTTTTACATTTAGAACGAATCTCGGCGAAAATTAGTCAACAAATTATATGCAGCTGAAAATGCAGATGCCAAAAAGGTCAGCTTTTTCTAGGAAAAGCTTTGCTTCAACAATCAATGAAGTAAGGAAAGTTTGTTTCGAAAGTGAATAACAAGTCTGTAAAACGTTAGGTTACTTCAAAGGCTACAGGAACTTTGCTATATAAACCAACTTCTTCATGAAAAAACGACAAAAAAATGAGACGTACAAACTTATGAAAGACCCAATATGTTAGTTTTATTTGAGTCTTGCTTCGCGGTCAACTGGAATGGAAAATAGTCCTGCTTTCTTGCTGACCGGAATAAAGAACAAAGTTTCAGTATTCTTTTTGATGCGTCAACGAGAACATCCATAGCTTTATGGCGTCGCAAAGAGCTAACGCCTAGTTAGGGAGAACATTCGCTTATGCAGGTGTTCCGGAAAGATGTATCACGTTTGATTACTAACACCTCCTTTGTCATGGAATCCTTCGAGAAGCTTTGGGTGCTACATTGTAAACAGGGCCCGGCACGAGGTGGGCAGACGGGGTTTTCCAGAACGAATTCCCCTTTGACCCCAATAGTTTTTACGAATAACCCCTTGAGCCCAAAAATGACGCTTTGTGCTTGTGGAACAAGAGCACCGGCCACACTTTGCCTAAAAGCGCTCAAAAGCGCTCAAAAGCGCCCAAAATGCTCAAATTTCTCTAATTACTCCTCACCTGTATCAAGATAGAGAACAGGAAGAAGAATAAGCAAGGAAAATGATGAAGGAATGAAAAAATGTCGAAGGAACGCAGTCATAGGACTGAGAGACGCCGTTCCCGCGCGTATCGATCGACTGGGGCGCGCTTTCCATCTTAGAAAGCTAGGCTGCTGATGCGATTTTGGGCTCTAACAAAGACAAGAGGAGGAGTTTCGGAACCAAAATCTCACCATATAGTAAACTCTAGGTGAACAACAGATTTATGTAAAAATTTTGAAAAAATTATGTGAATTGAAAGTTTTGCCCACCTCAGGTGGGCATTAGGTGGGCAATTGCCCACCTAATTTGGAAAAAAATTGAGCACGCTCTTCATTCACATAAGTTTTCCATAATTTTGCATACAGTGTTCCTTAGTCCTACTGCGCTTATACACACCAAGTCTCGCGCGATTTCGTTTTCCTTGCGCTGCAAACGAGCCATTTTCCACTTTTTTAAAAGTGGGAAATTTTCAGAAAAAAGCTTGCCACAACCTTCATTCACATAATTTTTCAATGAAACTTCTAAGATAAGCCCAGCAGGCCCGTGTTCATGTACTTACCAAGTTTCATACCGTATGGTCATCTGTGCGCTGCAAACGAGCCATTTGATTCACATCTTCATTTACCAATTTTGCGAAATTTTTGGAAAAAATGCTTATCACACTTCCCATTCACATAAGTTATTCATAACATTTCATGCTTTGTTTCTACTAGCCTCTCTTTGTTCGCTTACGTAATTTGGTGCTATATCATAACCTGCATTGAGAACTGATCATGGGGTAGGGGAACGAAAGCCGCCAGTTCGAGCCGCCTTTCGCGGCTAACTGGTCCTTTCGCAACGTTGTTGCATGTCGTTCCAGGACCAGCAGTCCGCGCAGGCGACCGAAGCTGGCGGCTTTCGTTCCCCCACCCCTGATCATGTAATCATGTTCAACGGCATCGCTCATGCGACGTCGCGCACGCGGCAATTGGCGGCAACGCGGCGTAGTGCGCGCGAAGTCTGCTGTGCGTTGAGGTTTATGAAAACTATTTTCCGATGAATTAGATGTATAAGGTAAGCATGAATCGACCTTCTTTTGCTTGTACTTGATCTTCTTCCGGGGCTCCGCCCCGGATCTCGCAAAGACGATATCCCCTTTGCTTTTTGGTCCCAAAACGATTTCCAGCTTGTCATTTGCCCACCTCGTGCCGGTCCCTGATTGTAAAGCTTGCTTCGGCTTAGGTCTGCAGCGTGGAAAGACTTACCAATTTCTCTTGATTACTATAGGATTACGGTAGAGAGTTTCACAAAATTTTGAGCCAAAAGGGAAGCAAGACTACCTGAAAACTCTCACACTAGGTTAATAAGAGTTGCTGATCCTAAATACGAATTTCTTTTAATGCTTGGTTAAAGAGGTATGTCAGGTAAGCAATAGTAGCCGTTTTTCTGATGTCAGTTAAAATATGGTTACACCGTTTAAGCCTCACAATTCTGCACAAAGTCAGATATAAATCTCATCGTCTATGAAACCTTATTACACAAGCTGTCAAAATTTTTTTTTCGATTTATTTGAAACGGCAGCACTCTCAGAGTGACGCCATATGCCGCAAGTTCCTACCATAGTCTTACACTAACGGAAAGGATGTGATTTTCACACTTTAAAACTAACTTGAGGCCAGCTCTACAAAATGGTAATTAAAGCTTCTCGAAAGGCTTTATGACAGAGAGTTATTAACGATCAAACGTTTGGTGCATCTTTTTGGAATCCTCTGCATTCTTTTCACTCTTTGTAGATATGACTTATTATTACCCTCAAAATATTCTGCACTACATTGCACCTGCCTCTGGTGATACCATAATATTTAATGAAGGGAGGAAGGTCTGGGGCAAAGGAATAGAAGAAAGTTCGATGGAGGAGGGGCGGAGCTTGGAAAGAGCAAGTGAATAAAGCTCAACTGAGCTGAATTGCTAAGTATTCAAGCTTGAAAAAGGCTGAAAAACATTAAATCAAATAGAGAGGGCTAAAACTTTAAGCACCTTTTCAGGCAGGTATTTTTGGACTACTGGCTAATATCAGTGCAATCCTCTGCGTGTTCCGCAATCCCGTCTTGAGGAATGGATTTGGTTTGCTTTGCTTTTCTCACAGTGTGGCTAATCTAGGAGTAATGCTTGTTTTCTTGCTATGGGTCACTCCGATGACTATACTGTAAGTGGAAGTAAACTTATTGATCCTTAAGTTCTTCGATGACGCTTGCTTTTTAAGACAGAGTAATCTATCTATGCAAGTTATCGGAAAAATCTTTGGTCAAATTAACATCTTATTTTGGGATGTTTGTGTTTATTCACACCTTTCCATTTCTTTTAATCGCTTAGTGGCCTTGACTTTACCTCATCGGGCAAACGATTTATTCGATATTAGAAAAACGTTAAGTGCAGTTATTCTGATTTGGTTTTTAGGATTTTGTCACATTATTCCGTATTTTTGGAGTAAGTTTCAGTTTCAAAATAGTCCCCAAAAAAACTCATCTCTCCAGGAAGTGAATGCTACTTCCATTACAACGCTACTGAATGGGTGTTCAAGTTTGCTGATACAAAATGTGGTTCTATTATTTCCACATACACAGACAATTACACAAGCACGATTTTCTTGGTTGTGATATGTGTGCTGGATTGTACCACGCTGGTAAAACTGAGGACTTCCAACAATGTTGGTAATAAATCATTGTTTTAGTTATGAGGACAAATTCATAAATTGAAGGAAAGTTATATCATATCTTTAGATGCTGGGAACACAAGCAGGCAATGTAAGCAATCATATACATAAGAAACGGCGTCAGATTGAAATTAGATTTTTCATGCAGGTATATGTGAAATTCTTTTTTTTTGTAAATGCAATTTTTCAAATCTAGTTTTAGACCTTGTACCAAAATGCACTGTTCCTTTACGAAATTATTAGTTTCTACTATGTAAGCGCACTGCTTACAAATAAGTGGGCTGTGTTCATAACAGCCACATTGTCATGGGAAATGTGTCATGCTTTGGATGGGTGAGTTGTCCAGTTTATGTGAAGAATTAAAATCTTAGAGGGGTTTGTTTTGAGAATGCAGAGATGTCGCTTCGGAGATTGGCACTGTCTGAGTTATCTCAACCAGTGGCCGTATTCATCAACGAACCCGAGGGTTGCACCCGGTGGATACGCGAATCCAGTGAATTCTTTGGGTTCGCGAGCCCATCGAATAAGGGTGTTTATTGCTAGCCAAGTAGCTAAGCGCAATTATGTTGATGGATGCAGATTAAAATAATTGCTGGATTGCTTCAAAGCCGTTTTGAAAGTTTTCATTGATGTTTCTATGACACTTCCAAGCACAGGTGCGATAAGGTGAGAATGACTCCTCCAGGGTAAAGGGGGTCACAGTGGTCGCAATCCCTCCAGGGTGAAGGGTGTTTTACTTGGTTCAGAAAACATAAAATGTCGACGGAGGGGGGGGGCATCATTTTTTCCAGTCAAAGTTCATAATTTCCAATTCCTTACCATCACTGTTTGTTTTTTTCTGAAATGTGAAGTGATACGCTGCTGGATTAGCATCTTATATATAAAGCTGAATGTCTGTTTGTCTGTATGTCTGTCTGTCTGTATGTGTGTACGTATGTTCCGAATAGAAAATTCCATTTCTGAACCGATCCGGACCAAACTTGGCACACATACACTTCGGGGCGGGGAGGGTCTCGTAGGCTACTTTTCGTTATCGATCGATATCGATTTTATCGATTTTTTGCAAAATTTGAGCTACGGGGCTGGGAGTTGGCACAGGAGGGTAATCGAGCATGCTGATTACAAATATATTATTGACAGGGCCGGGCGGAGCCGGGTAAGCCAGCTAGTACAATTATATTTCTGACAAGCACCTTGTATTTTTTTATACTTCCTTTTTCCTTTTTTACATCGCCCTGCCTGTTTTTGGAATTACCATAGCTGATATGCATGCGAACATTTGTTTTGGAAAGAGTTAGACAATTTATAAGCATTTACGATTTTTTCTCAAAGAAGAAATTCGTAATTTCTGTAGATGCACAGCAACGTCAGCAAGGTGAATATTTTTGAAACCAACTTGTCTTCCGCTTTTAGAGAATATACAGTTTGCCTGGAGTCTGTTGAAAAAGTGCCTAGTGAAGAGTGTGGGTAGTGATTTCTGGATATTTACGAGTTTTTAGGATAGAAAAATCCGTACCTTCTGAAGATGAACATAATTTACGCCGTTATGGCTATCATTGAAAACGCCTCTTTTCTGCTTCCAGAAAATATATACATTGCTGAATGTCCATAGAAAAAAGTGCCTGGGTGAAGGGTGTGCTTTGTGATTTTTGAAGATACTCGATTTTTTATCATAAAAAATTCATAACTTTTTTAGATGAACATCTTGTATGCCGGAATGGTCACCGCTGGAACCGTCTCGTCCTCTGCTTTCAGAAAATACATGCTTTGCCCGGGGTTCATTAGAAAAAGTGCCGGGTGAAGGGTGGGTGAGACTTTTATAATGGGAGTGCTCAAGTAGACGCCTTTTTACAATGGTAAAAAGCCTGTACTCTTGAGCACTCCCATTATAAAAGTCTCACCCACCCTTCACCCGGCACTTTTTCTGATGGACCTTAGGCAAAGTATATATTTTCTGAAAGCGGAGGACAAGACGGTTCCAATGGTGACTATCTCGGCGTACAAGATGTTCATCTAAAAAAGTTATGAATTTTTTTATGATAAAAAATCGATCTTCAAAAATCACCAAGCACACCCTTTACCCAGGCACTTTTTTCAAAGGATCTCAGACATACTATATATTTTTTGAAAGCGGAGGACGAGGCGGTTCCGATGGTTACTATTTCCTTGCACCAGCTGTTCATCTGCAGGAGTCACGGATTTTTTTATCCTGGAAACTCGAAAATTCCCAGAAATCACTAGGCACATCCTGCACCACGCACTTTTTTGAATGGATCTCAGACATGCCATATACTTTTTGAAAACGGAGGACGAGGCGGTTCCAACGGTGACCATCTCGCCGTAAAAGATATTCATCTAAAAAAGTTATGAATTTTTTTATGTCAAAAACTCGAAAATCTCCAGAAATCACTACTCACACCCTTCACCAAGCACTTTTTCAACAAACTCCTCCTTTCCTATACATTGACAATTCACGTACAATTACCTCCTTTGCTTAATCTTACCTCACTGTTGATTTTTTTCGGCTTTTGGTGAAGGGGTCACCTTGGTTCCGGCTCAGCGGTGGGAGGGGGTGAAAAAAGTCTCACACTATCGCACCTCTGCTTCCAAGGGATATATAGCCACATTTTTTTTGCAGCATCGTAAATGATGTTTGTAAATGAAGAACAATTGCGATTTACAGATTTATTGTGGCTCGTTTTCATTTCCAGTTGTCGTTTATTGGACTGAAGACAAAATCTCAAGCTACAGCGGTTAGTTAAGAAATACTCAAACAAGTGCAACTTCATTTATATTTCAGACCTCAGTGAAAGTAGGAGAAAAAAATAAACGACTAACCCGAACAGTATAATCCCGTGGCATGGCATCGTTCTTGGACTCGGATGAACGAAAGTGGAGGTCCGACTTGCCTGACACACTCAGTGTCCGAGATTTTTGTGCAATATTTACGACGGAGGTCTTGAACCTGCGCCGTATTCAGATCTTTGAAGCTATGATTCTGCATTATATTCGTATATATTGTTTGTAGCATTGACAAAAAATGGATGCTTACTGAGAAGATGCAAGATCGGGATTGTTTATCGAGGAGTATTTGTTCAACTAACGCATTCGATCTCGAATGTCAAAAAAAAATAATGAAGGTTTTTTGATCTCTATGAAATTAATGAATATTGCAGTAGAAATGTTACGACACTGTATAATTAATTTGCATGAACTCCGTCTTTAATAAGCTACGGGCTGATGCTCTTGCATACTCTTGAAAACTAATAGGATTTACAGTAAACATCGGGCAAATGGTAGAAGTAAAATTTACCCCGCAAATTATCGCCTTCAGCGATAGGTTCCGCATTTACACGGCGTTTGCTATATTAGAGTTGCTTCGCATTCTGAACTAACTATTCTTTCCTTCTCTTTGCAAGTTTTTTAAGCTTTTTTTTACAAGAACCTCAAAGTAGAAAATTACTTGGATATGCAAATTTCAAAATTTTCCAAAATTCATTTGGATCAATCGCGGCACAAAAGCCGCACCCCCGCATGAGGATTGTTCTTTTTTTTAAATCTAACCTGCCGCGTGACATAATGAACATACAGTGGTTCTGCACCAACCTGATATAATACCCAACAAAACTTACACGCTGTTCTACCTAAAGCTTCGAAAGTCGTAGATTATTTTACTCCGTTTAAAAGAAGGAACTAGAAAAAAATACGCGCTTAAGAAAGTACAACTGCCTGAAGCATGTTCAATTATGTTGGAGAAACACTGCTTAAAGCAGTGTCCAGGCAAAATCTAAACCTCTTCAATTAGTACTTGTACGGGAAGGATACCAACATCAGTTGGCGATTGAAGATGGGATTATATTATTAAACGCGACTTTGAACGCTGATACCGTATCCGCTTTTTTTGCGGAATATTTTTCCGAAAGAAGTTATGAGCATTTAAACGTCCAAATTTGCCAAGCTGAGTGGCTTGAAACCAATGAAAAGCTCTAAATAAGACCTATGCGATCCCGCTTTGTTCCTCCTTGCAAACAACTACTCGTCACAATATTGATTTTCTTACGGTGTTTACTTTACGGTGTTTTTGTACAGCTCTACGCCAATTTTAGGACTCCTAAACCTTGACGAATGGATATTTGAACGCTTATAACTTCTTTCGAAAACTTGTCTAAGCTCTCATGAAAAAGGGGCATTTGTTCTCCAATGTCAGGTCAGGTCCTCCAATGTA